TTTGACAAATAATTTTTTTTAAAAAAAGTAGTAGCCATTTAAAATTAGTGGCTGTCTTTAGCTTGTACGCACTATATAAATAATACCCCTCATTACGTTTTACGTATTTATGGTTATCTTGTTGATGGTCAAAAAGCTGTAGTAACTATTTCCAGTATAAAAGTTTTCTTTGATATTCGCGTCCCCGATAATAAAAATATTGACGTATTTGAGATCGAAATAAAAAACATTCTTGCCAATGGAAAAGATGAAAGGGGGGTCGTAGATATGACCAACCTCCGGACAGAACATATAAAAGCATTTCCAATCAGTAGATATTATAAAGAACCAAAACCTCATATTCGCATCATTACAACTGATATTAAGCAAAGATCAATCGCTCTTGCGATTATTTTAAATTACAATTTAGAAATCGCCGACGAGTACAAACTGGAAACCGCCTCAGATGATTTGAGAGCATATTACCGAAAAGTTGCTCGAGAATATAGGATACCACTCTCTGGATGGGCTTTATTAACCAAATATGAATATAATAATGGCAGGATGCCTTATAGTGCTCGTTCTCCACTTTGTGAACACGCTTTCTATGTATCTATTAATAATTATCATTCTGTAGAGGATCCTACAGTATTGTATAAGGCTTATCCATCTTCACTCATTACTCATGATCGAGCACTAGTTCTTACCTGGGATATAGAAACACATACAATGCTTGGATTAGACCATGTCCCTATGGCAAGATATAAAGAAGATAACATATTTATGATTTGTATGACTGTTCACTGAAAAGATGATCCAAAACCATTGAAACAGATTTGTCTCGTTGATATGGAAACTGCATCAGATCCAAATTGGATAACGATTATTTGTGGAAATGAAAAAAATCTATTAAAAGCATTTGCTTTATGCTGGCAATTATTAGCTCCTGATATCGAACTTACATATAATGGATCTAAATATAACTGGCCATTCGTAGTAGAAAGAGCTACTCAGTGGAAAATCTTAGATTGGATGTTAACAAAAATGTCAGCAAATCCACGTAAAAAGACTACAATTGATAGTATTCTTCGTTGGAATTACTATGGAGGGGTAGGCGAACCTTTCTATAAAGATTTCTTTCATAAGAAAAAAACATGGGAAGTAAAATCGGAAGGGAAAAAAGAAAAAGATAATCATAATATCGAAGATAAAAAAATAAAGAATCGGGAAGGAATAGAAATTAAAATCACTCCCAAAAAAACGTTTACATCCACCTTTCTTAAAATTCCCGGATGTGTTCCGATTGATGTGATAGTATGTTGTAAAAAACTTCATCCGGATTCTGAGATAAATACACTTAACCATTACTTAGAAATCAATGGTCTAGTAAAATAGATTTATCTATAAAGAATATGAGAACATATTATGAGCAAAGCAAAATCTCTACTACAACTGAAACTACCGAATATATGCATAAAATTGCGGAATACTGTATTGTGGATGCTAAATCTTCTCAGCGACTTATGGTCGAGAAAAATATGATAAATGACTATAGGGGTGTTGCATCTATTGCTTATATATCTTTATTCGATTCACATTATTATGCAATAGGTATGAAGGTACGTAATCTCTTGGGTGCCAAAGCATGGAAGCGAGATATTCTAGTTACCATGATAACGAAAAAAACCGAAAAAGGATCATTCCCAGGAGCTTATATGTACCCTCCAGATAAAGGCCTTGAAGGTAAACGTCCAGTTACAGGTTTGGATTTTGCATCTTTGTATCCGAGTCTTATTATGACTTATAATTTATCACCAGAAAAGATGGTATATACATTAACTGAAGCAAATGCACTAAAGAAAGAAAACAAAGTACTTCATACAATTGAGTTTGGTGGAACCATTCATGCATGGAGCATACGATATGAAAACAAATTCAACCAAAAAGGCTTATATCCATCTCTATTAGAATATTTACTTAATAAGCGAAATGAGATGAAGACCCAATTGAAACCCCTTGGAAAGAAAATAGAGCATATGGGACTTGTGAAAAGTAGAATAAATTCTGAAGTTAGTTCGATAGTAACTGTAGAAACCATTAAAGGTATTCTGGAGGATATAAAAGATGAAAAGAAACGCCTAGATGTGGCCAAAACCCTAAATAATTTTATTGGAACACCTTATAAGAATTTTATAGAAGAATATGATTCGATTTATTTTGACTACAGCTACTTAAATTCAAAGCAGAAAGCATTAAAAGTGTATATGAATTCATTTTATGGTGAAACGGGTAACAGTCTCTCACCTTTTTATATACGCCAGCTTGCTGGTAGCATTACATCAGCGGGGCAGTATAATATTAAGCTTGTTGCAGAATACGTGAAAAAGAAAGGTTTTGAAATTAAGTATGGTGATACAGACTCTTTGTATCTTAAATTCCCAAATAATTATTATAAAGAATGTGATCTCGCTTATAATAATGGCAAAGGTACAATCTCAAAGTTAGAGTATTGGACGGAAATAGTTGAAATTACTATGAAGGTAATGGAAAGACTATGTAATGAGGTAAATTCATTTCTTAGATTAAAAAGCAGATCGGTTTACCTAAAAATGGCATATGAGGAGGTATTATTTCCTGTCTGTTTTACTGGTAAGAAGAAGTATTTTGGTATAGTACACAAGGAAGCTGTGAACTTCAAACCAGATGAACTTTTCATCAAAGGGATTGATACCATAAAACAAGGTAAGTCCCAACTTTTTAGAACTATAGAAGATCGAATCATGTGGGGAGTTATGGATATCAATAATGTACATTCACTCCATCAGATTGTTGAAGATGTTTTTAAAGAGGCCGTATCCAATCCTAAGCAATGGGATTTCGAGCAGTTTATAGAGACAGCTGTGTGGAAACCTGATAAAAATAATATACGTGTTCAACGCTTTATAAAATGGATGAGAAAAGAATACGAAAATAAGATTCCGGATCCAGGAGAACGCTTTAGTTATGTAATGATCCATCCAGATTCACTCTTTGGTTTATCTGGTAAAAAGCTTACACTGAAAAAGAGTGATCAAATGGAATTTGTGGATGTTGCAAAAGAATTAAATAAGGAATTGAATCTATCTCATTACTTTGAAAATACTATTACTGCACTTTGTGCCCGATTCATAATGTATGATAAAAGATATGAACCACCATCTACTGACAAGATTATGCAAATTTCTGACTTGGATGAGAAGTATAAACAGATTGATATCTATGCTCAAAATAAGGCCAAGAAGTGGCTTGAGTCGTATATTAAGGAGATAAATGTGAAAAACGGAATCGATTCTAAAAAGATATCTAATCGTGGATATGCCTACAAACGTGCTTATAAGAAAGCGCAAGATATATTATATCAGAAAATGGGTAATACATATGAAATATATCATGGAGATTGGTTAAGCTTTGAAGACTTTAAGGTAGGTGACCCTGTTTCGAGATTATAGAAGAGATTCATAGAGTATGCTAAAGCATATACTAAAAATAATAATCTCTCAGTAAGTACTGAGGTAAGAGAATCTATATGCTCCGATTTTACGAAACACTTAAATGCACTTATCCCAATTATCAAAAAATATGATGCCTCTTTTCATCAATTAGTATACCACATGCGATATAAAGAACACGTATCAAACCCAGATAAATTGGCCCACCCGAAACTATGAGAAAAAATGAGATAGTTGTCGAGCAACCTATTATATCCAATATAACGAAAGCTGATCAACTGGTACTTGACAGTTTTCTAAATATATGGTATAAGGCAGTCGACTCAATATAAATATAACACAATATCTATGAGGCTATACAATAAATATTTTTTCGTACATAAATAATATCCAAGTTTAAATAGACAGCCTGTTACCCGATCTACATATCCCGCAATCGATCACTTTTTTTATGACCCTTTATTTCAAAGAAATGGCTCTTTGAGCCTAGAGTCGCTCCTTCGGGCCTGCGGAGCAATGACGCTTCGAGTCTACCTATATTCCATATGCGTCTCACAAACCACACAACCGCAATAATTAACAGGGCAAGAAAAATATATACCGATAGCGGTGACATTAAAGTGTTTGCCACAGCAGGAAGAGGTAAAGTCTCGAGACTAGGTCTCATCTGGGCATTCGATTTAATCAAAGAGGACATCTGTGGTTTAGCACTAATTTCGCTAATTCTATTTTCATCGCTTACTTTGGGGTTGATCTCAGTATCATTTTTTGGTAGTTCGGTAATCTCACCATCGATTTTTTTAGCTTGATCCATATTTTTTCCACGTACAAAATACTTACTTAGATTTTTGCTAGGTTCAATAACTGCAGATATATCATCAGACTTGGTCATATTTTTTTCATCGTTTCCACCAAGTATGGGGTTTGATATAGCCTCCGATTTCAGATACTCAAATTCACTGACTTTCGAAGCTAACTCATATTCTACTTCAACTATTTTAGACTTGAGAGATAAAATCTCGGATTCTTTTTTCAATGAGTTATTTTGAATTGAAATTACATCTTTCTGGGCTGAAGACAACTTACTTTCCAATATCTTGATCATATACTCAAGTGATTTGATTTTCTTGGATTTTGTAACATTCTTAGCTTTGGATTCAGCAATAAAAATATCCTTTTGTGCGTTATGAGAAATAAGATTAGTATTTTCATTTTGTAGTTGCTTATGTTCATTAATGACCTGCAAAGCGTGGGTGCGTAATTTTTGGATCTCAGTATTATTTCGTAATGAATCCTGATTCCACCCCTTTCTTTCTCGATCAAAAGCCTTCATTTGTTTTATGTATTTATCCTGTAATTTTTCGCTAAGCTTGTTAATTTCAGCTTTGGATTTGATAGCATCGTGTATTTTTTTTTCTAGCTCTTCTTCGCGTATACTACCAAGTCGATGACCTTTAATATTTTGGGACGCACATGC